AAAAAAATGAAGATCTGTGGTGTTTGGTATTCAAATAGGACCCTCAATGTAGATCAGGATAATTGTCACACTCGGCTAGAAAAACTTGAGTCCAAGCTCAACTCTTGGAAACCTCGTTCCCTTTCCTTTGTTGGCAAAGCACTCATTGTTAATGTTCTAGGAGCCAGTAAGCTTTGGTTTCTAGCCAAGGTTTTACCCCTTCCTAAATGGGTGGTCTCTCGATATAACAAGCTGGTGTACCCCTTTGTGTGGGGCTCTAAGATCGAAACTGTCAGTCGTAAGTCCTTGACCCTCCCTTTTACGAAAGGGGGTTTAGCTCTTGTTGATTTAATTACTAAATGTAAGGCTTTGAAAATAGCAGCTACTGTTTCAATTGCTGCAAACCCAGATACTGATGACCATTATCTTTTGAAATATTTTATTGGCTCTCAGCTAGCTCGCCTGGGGCCGGAGTGGTCCCACCTGCGGGATAACTCTACCCCTAGTGCTTTGACCCCGACTAAGTTCTATGACTGTGTATTACGTGCTATTACCGACCTTAATGCCCAAGTAAATACCCAGGCTGCCTTCACGTATAGCTTTAAAGAATGTTATGAAGCTTTTCTTAAGTCTGAGGTGACCCGCCCCAGACTACATTGGGGCTGGTCATCCTATGTAAGTTCTGATTTTTGTCTCAGCCAACACTGGCTAGGGGTTCGCGACCAGCTTACTGAGAATTTTAAGAATGACCTCCTGTGGTTGATCACCCTGAGGGGAGTCAAAGTCCGGGACTCCCGTCATTCCTGGGGCTACATCAAATCTGATTCTTGTGCCATATGTCACCATACGGAAACTATAGATCATCGTTTTCTGAATTGTCATAGAGTTAAGAAAATCTGCGCTGCTTTTAGCCCTGCCCTGTCATCTTTATTAGCTACTCCCTTTAGATCTAATGTGAAGAAAGTCTACTTCTTTCAGTGGACAGCGACTAGCGATAAGAATACAGCAATTCCGGGTTATCTCATTAAGTCCCTCTTGTATGGAATATGGGTTTTTAGAAATAAGAGTACTTTTCACAATCGCACCGAAGACTACTGGGCCATTGTTCGTTACATCCGTCATGACATTGCAATCCCTCTCCATGTTGATTTTTCTCGAATGACCAAACATTCTTTTCTTGCTTTGTGGTGTCATGACAACATATGTGAGGTATCCAATGAGAGGCTAATAATAACTCCCTAACCCTAACTTCTCCAGCAACTCTCGATTCCCCTTTCAACTTGGCTATGACTTTGTGATGAGCTTTGATAAGGCTTAGACCATATGTGCACGGACTATTAAGAAATGTGTAATGATTACCTTAAACCAGAAGTGACCTCACCTGTTAACCCATAGCTAATAACTGGCATAGGGCTTATCCCTGTGACCGGAAGTGACTGTACCATGTTTTGAAAATCTTGTTTACACCGGAAGAGGGCTTTTTCTAGTTAAACCGTGCAGTTATGTAAGTAGGAGGTGTGTGTGATTATAATAAAATTTTAAAAGACAAAATCTGTTCTTATCGGTTACGTTTTCGGTTTCTCCGCCGAAAACGTGAATATTCCCTCCCCGTACGCTTGGATCGTTTCACTTTTGGTTGGTTTTGCTTCGTTTCTGTCCGTGGATTTCTGTTGTGAGTTTTATTTTCTGTTTGCTGTGTTTTTTCATCTATTTATTTTGTGTTCTCGCGACACACGTGTTGGGCAAGATGGCCACGAGTCCCCCTCGCCACGTCTTTGCCCACAAAAGAAATGTGCGACTTATCATTAAAGAAGACATGCGCATCGACTCTTTACAAGTTATCGCCTCGTTACCCGATTTTCAAGCTGACATCACTGGCGTTGTACCTTTCTTTGGAGGGAAGTGCATTGATATTACTTTACGCAACCACGAGGTCGCCGCAAGACTGGCCGCGAGTGGCTTTGATTATGGAGATATCCGAAAACCCCTGCACCTTCTCGGCGAAAAACTAATACACACCTCTTGTTTTGTACCAGTGGAATTCCCTGACAACGTGGTGGTGGAACTCTTAAAGCAATACGGTGAGCTGAAAACCGAGAACCTTCGCCGCCTTTACTTTCAGGAGGAGGGGTTTTCCCATATTGAGCGTGGAATCCGCGTGGCGGAATTTGTTAAAATCAACCGGGATTTACCTCGTAGAATAGTGACTCAAGGAGTTGAAATCAATTTTAAATACACCCGACAAATGATTACGTGCTATTGGTGTAATTCCACCAAGCACGTTCGACATTGCGACATAAATCAACGCCTAGCAGCATCCGGGGGGAAAGCCATCCCTGGTCCCCCTATACCCATGACGGAAACAGAGGAAACAACTAACGACGACATGGACCATGACACTGAGGAGACGAATACGGAATCTTCACAGATGCAGCCTCCGAGTTACACGCAGGTCTCCAACCCAAACCAAGAGCTTTCACCTTTCTTTGCTTCGCGTGACCTCTTCGACACCTCTCCTTAATCATCAAAACGGCCCCACTCGTCACTGGCGAAATCGGACAATCCTGAACCAAAACAACAACGCGCTTCTTCGTGCTTTCAAATTCCTTTATACAGCCGCCAAACAAGCGGGTACCGAACGTAAGAAACTGATGACTACCATCCCTGGCCCGCAATATTACCGTTGCCATGCTTTATACCTCCAACACCGCTATGGAAATCATGCCGGTTTGGAATTACAGAGCCCCGGTCACAACAACCTTAAAGATAGAGAACTCAACGCGTGGGTCGAATTACACCGAATGATTGCTCAGGATGCCCTGGCCGAACTTATCAAGATGAGCCAAGAGCTTTCCTGGGAACACCCCGCACTTTTTCAGCCATAATTTTTACTGCCACCTTCATGTGTTATAATTTAATGTTATTTTTTTCCCGCCTAATGGCTGTCTCGCTGCCGTCCATTAACGTTAACGGCGCTGCTGAACGTCATAAGTGCCTTACGGTTTTTGGATGCTTGCAAGCTATGCCAGTCGATTCATTTTAATTACAAGAAACTCACCTCGCGGACTTCATGCAAGGTAAGGCATGGGAGAAGGAACGGGGGCGTCAGTGCACGTGGTCCCCCGGCTCTAACCGGTCCGCGGGTGTCGCGGTTCTTATTCACCCGAATAGTGCTGCGACACTCGTGGATTCTAAAACCCATCTAGCGGATAGAGTAGTCACAGCTCTTATTGATTTTCACAGGCAACGTTTTCAAATAATGAATGTTTACGGGCCTAATAACCACCGCGAATGTGAAATATTTTTTGACAATCTCTGGTGCTTTAAATATCCTAACTTAGAATCTATTGTTGTTGGGGATTTTAACTGTGTACTGGACATTACGCTTGACAAGTGGGGCAGCCATGTGATATTTTTGGAGAGAGCCGTCATGCAGCTACACTCTTTCACCGGGTCACTGGCTTTAGAAGACTTTTATCGTGTGTCTAACCCAAGCGGTAATATTTTTACATGGTTTAACAGCCCTTATTCCGTGGGGTGTAGGCTAGATCAGTTTTATACGCCGCGAGCCTGGAGATCACGTATCATGCGACACGCGTGTTTGCCCTTTTCATACTCTAATCACCAATTAATTCAACTTCAAGTCACATTTGGAGCTACCCACCCCCGGGGTCAGGGGGTATGGAAATTCAACACACAGCTGCTCAAAAACGAAAGTTTTTGCACCGCAGTCAAGTCTTTTTGGTCTTCTTGGCAACCAAATAAACCTGCTTTCACCGACCCTCAGGTTTGGTGGGATGCTGGAAAACTGCAATTAAAAGAAATCGCCATCACTCATAGTGTTGCTGAAGTATGTGAGCGTAAGCGTGACAAACTTAACTTAGGAAACGAATTTTGTAATATCCTGGCTCGCGGTTCTTCAAATACCGCCGACAATCACGTTCGCTTAGTGGAGATCAGAGATCTCTTAAAGGCTATCCAAGATCGTAATGTAGAAGGAACAATAATCCGTAGCAGAGAGCAATGGCTAGAATTCGGAGAAAAGCCCACAAAATATTTTTATCAACTCGAAAAGCAACGCCAGACCCGTAACTCGATCAATGAATTACGTGTCGGGGATCAGACAGTCACATCTCATAAAAATATTTTGACAGCTTGCCGAGATTTTTATGTGAGCCACAGGCGGCCCAAGCTCAGTGTGTGAGTTTAATCGTTAACAGATGTAGTTTCATATTGTGTAATTTAAAATGGCCGTGAATGTAAACGATTTGTATGGGAATTCAGGTGAAAGATTCAAATCGATAAATACTTGCTAGAATGTTCAATAAAATACAGCTTAACGTATTTACTTTGCTTGTTTTTGTTTGCTGTGTGGTTATTTTTCCGATCCATTGCGATTTAAGCAATTTCCTTTAACGGCGAGTTTCCACTGTAAGAGAAAGGACAAGGCTTCACACTCCAGTTCGGGATCCCCATGCAAGAGGCGAAAAATCCTCAGCTTGAAATGGCCAAGCAGCCACAAATCAAACGCCGAGTCCAAGCCAATATGTCCTTGTTTCATTTCATCTCATTAGCCGAGCAATACGGCCACTGCAACCGACGCCAACGGCAGTTTGTTTTCCAAAATCCAAGGCAAAACGATGCCAAAGAGGTGAGTACATTTTCACCACGACACACGACCGTTGACAACCTGCTTGGTAACCCTGCCTCCTCTAGAAACTAAGCCTCACGGGGGTACCACACGGTCACTTGTCATTGACAATTTTTGATTTGAACCCTGGCTCCCCTCGGGTCGATTTGACAAGAGGGCATTGTCCCAATCGCTCAATCAAATTCACGCCAGAAATGTTTACACATTCAAAACAAACGTCGTTGCACAGCTGATCTCGATCTCTCAGCTAAAGAGAAGAAATGTTGCCCCCAAAAAAGTGTCCTTTTGACGATGGCAACACAGAAAGTGCTAATTCCAACTCGGGAGTCACATCTTATCTCAAATGGAAATCATGGTAAGTTATCCATCATATTTCTCAACACTTCTTTTTTCATATTTCATCGCCGTGGCTATGCCCGGCAGACGGGAAACAGAATCTCAAAAAATTCGAATTTCCACCCTGATATCAGATGAATTTCGATATATATTGTCAGGATTGTTTGCAACTACGATAATCCTGAGAATACACTTACAGAAGCCAGCCAAATTTTACGGCATGCGTCAGAAAGAAAAGAAAATTCCCCGTGCCAGTTAAACCCTGTGATGCTTGGCAAAATTGTTAACGAGATTTGGGGAGAAAAGGTGAGACTAGTCAGGCGTGGACCGAGGAATCAACGAAAAAGTTTTTACCAGAACCTTATGAAGAAAGAAGACATAGGACCACAAGAATTATTGCATGAAGTACTTAAAGAAGTCAATGAGATGCCATTAAAAGATGGCTGAAGCAAAGTCTGTGAGGAAAACAAGGTATCATTTATTCGCTTTGAGTCATGGTCATTCAGAAATCAGAGAGGATTTATCGAGGTCCGGACAGAGAAAACCTTGACAGACCTGGCATATTTCATTATTTCTCATGTATCATTTGGCCAAGCTAATGGACATACAAGCCCTGGCAAAGCACCCTTTTCGAGAAAGGGTGAACCTCATTTTGAATTTTATTGATTGTTCGAAACCATGCCGAGGTACTAACATTGATAATACGGTGTCTGTTACCTCCTACGTTCCCAATGTCATTGGGGAATATAGGGACAGTGAGAGTGAGCTCATTAAGATCGTTTCTGAAAGGTGCTCCATCATTCAATGTATGGATGATATATGTTGTCTCAACTGCCGCAAAATTAAAATTCTGACTGAGACATCAAAGAGAAGAAAGTTGTCCAGGGATGGGGTCCACCCCTGTACTAACAAGTGACATATCACAAGGGACGAGCTTGCAAAACAGCTTAGTGAAGAGACAAGACCAAGACAAAATGCGGAGAAACGTGAAAGCTACTGGAGAGATAAGTTCTATACACAATGCTTAGAGATGGAAAAGGATGATCATGAGGATCTGTCATAGATGTTCTTAAATGCTCCCAATGTTCCTGAAGAGATGTCACATTTGTGGGAACAGCAAAAGAAACTATTGCAGACTAAGAGCAAAAACGGTTATCGATGGCACCAAAAGTAAGCATTTTAACCATTAGCAAGTGTAATAATACCCTTTATTAATCCAAAAATATAAAACCTATTCTCTTAGACTAAGACAAATATAACAAATCAGCATCGTGACCCGTTTGTTGTTTTCTTCACTCACATAGAGTTATGAGATTATGCCTTGACCTCTACTGTAAAAACCCCCATGTACTGGACCCACTCCGTCAGTTTTTAATTCTTTTCAGCAACAAGACAATAAGGTGGGAGATTGGGCCGAGTGATGGCGGAGTAGGAGCACACAAAAAGCCGTCCGCCTTCCAAAAGTTCTTTATGGCCGAAAAACTGTTTAACTATATTAGAAAACGCAGAAATCGATCATCGACAAGCTCCGGAGGCGAGACCTCGCCATTTCAAGAGGCAAAAAAGCCCAGAGATCTAACAGAAACAGAAGACAAAAGCACAGGTAGCGACCACGAGACAAATGACGAAGTCATGGCGGCTCTCGACAAAATAGAACACATCAGAGAAAAACTTAACTCCATCATTGATAGACTGAGTAAACTTGACTCGATCGAAAGCACAGTAAGAAATATAGAAACCAATTTGGCGAATCTCAAGGCAAGAACAGCAAAGCTCGAAGAGTTTCAAGCAACGGCCAAGACTGACATAGCTGATCTAAAGAAGTCTTGCAGTTTCAATACTGACAAATGTAAGGAATATCGAGATGATTTAAAAAATAAGATTGACGAGCAGAATGAAAGAATTACCTCTCTGATTGAGAGTGAGAAGAAACTCAACCACCAAATGGACGAGATCATATCCAATAACCTTTATCTCGAAGCTTACTCCAGGAGAGAGAGTATTAAATTTTTTAATATCCCTGAAGCACGAGAAGAAGATACCGAAGAAGTTCTAAGAAGTTTCATGGAGAGAGATCTCGGATATCGTAATGGCCGCAGCGTGGAAATCCAACGCGTACACCGTCTATCAAACCGACGTAACAGCAACACAGCTCCACGTCCTATAATCACCAGATTTCTTCGATATAAAGATGTCGAGGAAATTTTCTCCTTGGGCCGACGTCTAGAGGGGACCGATTTCCGAATGTTCTGCGATCTTCCACTGGAAATCATCAAGTGCCGGAAAGATCAAATGACAGTTTTCGAACAAGCACGACGACAAGGTATGAGAGCATCTTTCAGCAAGAGCCAGCCCGACAAGCTGTTTTATAAACGGCAGTTTCTGGCCTCCGGGCAAGTGCCTCGATGCAACAGAAGCAGCTGAGTAACTGTTTTTCATGATTGTACCTCAGAACTTTACTCTTCTTTTTTATAAATTTAGGGTGGCGGGCGGCTTAGCTGTCCCGACCGGTAATAACTACTCGACCAGGTTTT